CCTCTGTCTCTCATGAATAAATAAAAATAAAAAAAAAATCTTTAAAAAAAAAAGAGTCACATGCTCTTCTAACTGAGCCAGCCAGGCGCCCTATGTGTTTAATTTTTTGAGGAACAGCTAGACTGTTTTCCAAAGTGGCCACACCATTTTATGATCCATCAGCAGTGTGTGAGCGTTCCAATTTCTCCATATGCTTACCAATACTTGTTATTATCTGTCTTTTTGATTAGAGCCATCCCAATGGGTGTGAAGTGGTATCTCATTGTGGTTTTTATTTTCCTTTCCCTGATGGCTGATGATCTGAGAACTTTTTATAAACTGCATTTGCAATTGAGGTTTTCTGCCCGGTTGTCATTGTCAGCTGATGTGGTGATGCCTCCAAAGGATGTGAGGGTGTCCACTTACTCTTCAATTTTTCCCCAACAACACAGTAATGTCCTCTGCATTATGATTAGCCACCCAATCATTCAAAGCCTTCTTGGGTGGGGGGTGCCTGGGTGGCTCAGTCTTTAAGCATCTGCCTTCGGCTCAGGTCATGATCCCAGGGTCCTGGGATCGAGCCCCACATCAGGCTCCCTGCTCAGCGGGAAGCCTGCTTCTCCCTCTCCCACTCCCCCTGCTTGTGTTCCCTCTCTTGCTCTCTCTCTTTCTCTCTGTCAAATAAATAGATAAATCTTTAAAAAAAAAAAAGCCTTCTTGGGCAGGGGGAAGGCTTCTTGAGCATAAGCAGGCTGCTGGGTCCTGAGGATATGGCAAAAAAAAAAAAAAAAAAGGCAAAACCTTGCCCCTTGTAGAGCTTGGTGCATAAGCTTGTGGCCCTGGATCTCAATCCTTGCTTTGTCACCCCCCAGCCATGTGTCTTTGGACAAGGTGCCTAACCTCACCCAGCCTCAGTTTGCCAGTCTGTGAAATAAGGTTGTTCTAAGAGTTGCACGTAAAGCACTAGGCACAACATCTGGCCCATGCTGAATGCTTAGTAGGCATTTGTTATTGTTAAAGGTGAAGCCAGACAAATAAATGTTAACAATAATGAATAGTGAGTTATGATCAGAGAAGTACAAAGCGTCATGGGAGTACATAGTAGGGACCCCCAATCCAGTCCAGAGTCTAGGAAAGGCCACCCAGAGGAATTGATGTTTAAACGGAGAGACAACAGATGAGTAGGAGTTGGCTAGAGCAAGGGCAGTGTTGGGGGGGGCGGGGGTGGTGGTGTGGAGGGTTGTTCCTGGCAGTGGACCAACTGTGCAAGGCTTGGAGGCAACAGAAGGGAGCATGGCATACTGGAGAGATTGAAATGTGTTCCAATGTCTAGAGCCATGCTGTCCCATGGAATTCTCTGCAATGATGGAGAAGTTCTGTATCTGTGCCGTCCAATATGGTAGCCACTAACCACATGTGACTATTGAGCATTCGAAATGTGGCTACTGTGACTGTTAGAACTGAACGTTTAATTTTACTTTATTGTAATTGATTTACATTTAAATAGCCACCATGGTTAGTGACTACCAGATTGGACAGCGCAGGTCTAGAGTGTAACCAGCAAGACTGTTGTATTGAGAGATGAAGGTGGAGAAAGGCATCTACACTGCACAGGGTTATGGTATGGAATGCGCATTTTATGCGAAGCCCCAAGGGAAGCGATCGGTTGGGGTAGGATGTGGGGTTAAGCAGGGGAGTGGGGTGATCTGGTTTTCACTTTCGAAAGATCCTTCCAGTTGCTGTACGGAGAATGGGTTATGAGGGTGAGGGTGGGGTGTATGTGAGGCCGGGAGACCAGTTTGGGGGTGGCTGCAGTCTTCCAGGGGAGAGAGGGTAGTTGTTTCGACCGGACGGAGAAAGAGATAATTTGGGAGGTTTGGGGCGAGGATTGGATTTTAGGGAGCTAGGGAGAGGAAGGTGTCCTAGGTCTACTTGGTGGGTGGCTGAGTCCTTAAGCCCCAGTGTGGAATCCCTCCCTACCAGTTTTGATTTCGGCATTACCTGGAGCCTTCTCCCTGTCCCCCCCTGCTGGTTGGTGCTGGAAGCGCCTTTCACTAAAGGAAGTGTGCCCCTGACAGGCGCCCATCCTCCCACCCCGGTTGGGGCGTTGGGGGGAAAGCCCCGGGAGGTGGGAAAATCCCCTCAAACTGCTAGTTGGTTGGGTGGCGTGCATTCCCAGGGTCGTGTGCTGGACTGAGTCTCTCCTCTCCCTGGGGCCCGTCCATATTAGCTCTATCTCCCCTGTGATGGGTCTCCTGGAAGGCCCGTGGTGGGGCACGGGAGAAGGTAGACGTCAGCACAGTGGGGCAAGAACCCCCCCCCCCCCCCACCACACACACACACTCCGGGCCGGCTCCCACCTGAGGCGAGGTCCCAGCACCCAAGGGTTGCCTCTGATTGCCCCCACCCCCACCTGGGCCCTCCTTGGCTAGACAGTGGGGGTGGGGAGGCGGGGCGTGTCTCCCGACAGCAGGGTGTGGCCAGTGGTCCAGATGGTCACTCATCCATGGCCAGCCTGTCCCGAGCCGGGAGAGTCCCCCCCACTCCCCACCATGCCGGCGGGCCGGGTGGGCTGAGGGTGCGGAACACCCCGAGACCGCAGCCCGCTGGCGGAGCTCAGAGCAGGCTTGGGGAGGTTCTGCGGCTCCCGGCAGCCAGCGTCCGCCGCCCTCTCGGCTTCAGTTCCTCCCGGAGCCCCCGCCGTCCCGGAGGCCCGGGATCCCAGCGGTCCGCGGCCCCCGGCCGCCGCCACGCCCTAGCCTCGGCCTGCGGGGTAAGTCGGGGTGGGGGGCGATCGGGGCACGTCTGGGGAGGGGGCGGCCCGGAGCCCGACCGTGACTGATCAGGGCAGGGGAGCCCGAGGGCGGGGGCTCCCTACTTCTCCAGCACCCCGAGCCAGGGTCTTCAAGGGGCTCCGGCCTCCACCTGGACGGCCAGACCCCTTCCTCCAGGCCGGTGCGGGTCAGGGCTCCAGGACAGGGGAGTGGGGGGCTGGACAGGGAGCTGTTGCTGCTGACGCTTGGCAATGGTGGGCTGGGGGGCAGCCGGGGAGGCAGATGGGGGGGATGGGGGGATGGTTAGGGGCACACGCCAGGCCAAACGGTATGTGGCTTGGGAAGGACGCCCCAGATTGGGCAGAAAGATGGTGGCTCATGCTGAAGTGAAAAACCAAAACCAACCAACCAACCAACCAACCAAACAAACAAAAAAAACCCCTGCATGTCGAAGCAGTGAGCCAGGTCCTGGCCTCCCCTACTTTTGTGGGAAAATGCGTCCTTCCCCCACCCCCACCAGGTCCCTGAGGGCTGTGCGAGCCTGGACCGGACACAGCCCAAGCCCTGGCACCACCCACCCTCTCTCTTTCTGGCCCTTCTTTCCCTTTCCCATGCTCTTCTCTGCTCCCTGCCCCCTTCTCCCACCCTGCTGTCCCCCGACCCATCGCTGACTCTTCTTCCTTCTTTCTGTTCCTACCTGCTGGGGGCACAGCGCCTTCCCCCTAACCACCCCCTGTCAGAGCCCAGAGCCCCAGCCAGGGCCTGAGGTGGGGCTGCCTGTCAGGGGGAGCTTGGGCCGCCAGCCAGGGGTCTCCCTCCCCACTCTGAAGCCCCCAGACACCCTAAAGCACAGAGAGAGGTAGCATCTGATGCTTTCAGAGATGAATCAGACTGAAAACAGGGATGGGCCCTGAAAGATACTGAGAACTGAAGAGGATTGTCATGGTAGGTTGCTGTGGTTGTAGACCAGGCTCCGCCAACAGCTGACAACCTTGGGCAGTCACTTCCCTTTTCTTTTTTTTTTTTTAAAGATTTTATTTATTTAATTGACAGAGAGAGAGAGACAGCGAGAGAAGGAACACAAGCAGGGGGAGGGTCAGAGGGAGAAGCAGGCTTCCCGCGGAGCAGGGAGCCCGACGCGGGGCTCGATCCCAGGACCCTGAGATCATGACCTGAGCTGAAGGCAGTCGCTTAACCAACTGAGCCACCCAGGCGCCCCTCACTTCCCTTTTCTGGGCCTTAGCTGTCCTGGTAGCCAGATGAGAGGTTTGATAGACCGGTTTTCCAACCGTTTCCCCCAGCATGCTCCTGTTCTGTGCCAAGAGGGTGAATGACCCGCCTCTAGCCTTCAACGGCCCTCTTACCTGCCATGAATATCGGCCGCTGGACAAGAGGTGAGGCAGAGAAAGGTTCGAGCTGTGAACTCAAAAGTCTGCTATCCTGCATCAGCGGTTGTGGTCTCTCAGATATCAGGAAGTCCTGAGGGAAAGTCAGGGACAACCTCAGCCCTTCGTGTGGGACTACGTCAGTAGGCAGACCCATTGGGTCCCTGTCCCTCCCCTGTTCCATCCTCACTCCCGGGGCTTCCCTCTCTCCTCACCCTCTGCCTGCCTCCCTCATGGCTCACTCCGCGTCCTGTCGGGCTGACTCGGTGGGTGGATCTACTTGTACTCAGCTTCTAAACTTCTCTTTTTGCAGGCCTCAGCCAGACCTCCCACCCCAGCCCGTGGGCTGGGAAGAAGGAGGAGCCTCTGACAACTCTTGTCTCCGCCAGGTTTGAGCTGGACAGAGCGGCCCCCGCCCCTTAGGATGGCCTCGCCCTCCAGCCCTCTGGCGTTCAGGCTCCAGACATGGGATGGAGGCCAAGAAGACGGCGGTGAGAGGGACAAAGGAAAGCCGGGCCTCGGGGATGGGCCACCCCCCATGGAGTCACCGTTCCAGGGGGAGGACCGAGACTCCTCCCCTCAGATCAAAGTGAACCTCAACTACCGCAAAAGAGCAGGTGTCAGGTGAGGCAGCAAATGGGGGTGGGGCCCCTGAGTCAGACTTGGTGGCCTAGGCCCAGGCCCCGTGCCCCTTCGGGTATGTGTGGGGTTCGCCTGGCCTCCCCCCTCAGTGTGAAGTCCGATGCACGAGGCTGGCGAATCCTCCTGGGCAAGGCAGGACTCTGTCAGGAAAGCCCCTTCCTCCGCCCTCATGCCCGAGATGTGGCACCAGCCCTTGGCGTCCCAGCCCGGAGACCCCATATCGTTGGTGTTGGAAGACCGCGGTCAGATTCAGACCAGGCCAGGAGAGGATGCGCGTGAGGCTTCTGGGAGCCGGGTAGCCTGCCGGACAGGCAGAATAGCCCCCTCGCACCCCAATCTGTGCTCTCGCTGGGCTGCCCTACCCCAAGACGGGGATGCCACCCTGTGACAGGAAGTGTTTTCTCCAAACAGCCACTTCCCCCGGCGGGACTGCCCATAGGGTGCCCTAGTCAGCCGCAGGGCCCTCTCGGTCATGTCGTGGCCACGTGGCCGGCTGGGCAGTTGAGGGTGTCTGGTCAGGCCTGGCAGACTCGTGGCTTCCTGGCATGGAGGAGGCAGGGCCTGCCTCCATCAGTCATACAGCTGTAGCTTAACACCTGACTGAGCCCAACCATCCCCCACTCATGAGAGAGTCACCAAAGCCTTCCTTGGTGAAGCTGGGACCTGAGGCTCCCCCAGAGCATCAAAGAGCCCCCCCCCACCTTTGTTTGTCCCTTCACATCTGCTGGCCATGGTTTCAGGAGCCCCAGGTGTGGGCTGGCCTCTGTGGATAGGGGCATCCCCAGGAGGGGTATCCCACGCTCCTTCCCCTTCCCTGTCACCAGAAACTGCTAGATGCTAAACAGCTACAGGCTCTTCGTCTGAGGACTCTCCCAGAAGTGTGGCTTTTCAGGCAAACTCTGGTGAGCATCTGATAGGTTTCAGCGCTAGGCCCCTGTGTCTCTGGGGAACCTCTGTCTGCCCAGCCTGGAATCTCCCTGGGGGTTAGGAGTCAGGGTCTGGAGTTAGTTAGACACCCCCCACGTGAGCTCCAGTTATGCACACATAGTCCCATCCCGACCCAGATTCCAGCACAAGAGCATGACAAGTTCCTGTGTTGAAATCCTCCCTCTGGGATCAGGAGCCTGTTGTGAGATCATCAAGCCACCCAGCAAATGATAAGCACATGATGCTGAGACACAGACTCCCTCTGCTCTGCCTGGAGTCATGGGGATGCTGGGGGCTAGTGCCCTGGACAGGCCCGCCTTCCTTTCCCGGGGCTCTCAGCACGCGCTTGGTCTGCCCTGCGGGGGGGTGGGGCAGAGGTGCTCAGAAAGGCTCCCACAGGGCTCATGAGCCTGCAAGGTGCACACTGCTCACAGGACTTCCTGAAAGGGCTCCCCGGGGTGGGGGGCTTCCTGGGGGCACCCGTGGTTCTTCCATAACATCAGAATCAAATCACTTCCCCACAGCCAGCCGGACCCAAACCGCTTTGACCGTGATCGGCTCTTCAGCGCAGTTGCCCGGGGTGTCCCCGAGGATCTGGCTGGCTTACCGGAGTACCTGTCCCGGACCAGCAAGTACCTCACCGACTCAGAGTACACAGGTAGGCCTGCCCTGTGGGCCAGAGCCACTGCAGTCCTGCCCGCTGTGCTGAGACTCGGCTGATGGGTTGGCCTTGACCGTGGTCAGGAGCCAAGGGCCGAGTGTTCTCAGCAACACTCCGGCCTGAATGCCTCACTTTGGTCAAGCCTGTGCCTCCCATGTCCACCCGCCCCACGGGCTCCTGACCTACCTCTGCCATCCTCAGCCCATTTCAGTGGCCAAATGGATACTCACGGGCTTCCTCAGTGCATTGTTTTCTTTTTCTTTTTTCTTTTTGTCTTAACAGTATCGTTGAGATGTAGTACACATACCATACACTTCACCCATCTCAGAACATTTTTTTGCCCCAAATCGAAGTATCCTGATCGTTTGGGCTGATTAGAAAAATAACCTCGTCTGAGGCCTAATTTGTGTATTCTAATTTGTATATTCTAGAAGATTCAGGTAGTAATGACATGTCTAAAGCTGAGGGTAAAAACAGTAGGACATCCTGGATCCCTGTTAATGATTTGGCGAATCTCTTTTCAAAGTGTTTAAATATCTTAGATATATGTTTATGTAAAGGGTCGTGCCGTATACTACATCTCCTACTTTCCACTCTGTACATAGACCTCTAAGTCAGTCACTTTGACAAACACAGTTTTCTGCTGTGTACGTTTACCACAAGTTAGTTAGCTAATTCCTTAATGATGACCATTTAGGTTGTGTGTCGTTTTTGGCCTCCACATACTGCGTGCCAGGCCCTCTGGGTGCTAACAGTTTTGTATACAATCCCATTCAGCCCTTAGAACAAGCCTGGAATAGTCCCATTTTACAGTCAGGAAAACTGAGGTGAAGAGAGGCCACGTGACCTGCCCGAGGAGACAGAGCCTTTAAGGGGTGGAGACACTTAGCAAACATGTGCTCTGAATGTTCTGGTGTAGACCATGTTGCATGGACAACAAATTATGCCTTAGAAACTTATTTTCTAGGGCAGAAATTAGAGTCATACCTGTTGGTATTTTAATACCTGTTGGCTGGAGCCTTCCCACCTTGTAGCATGACTCTGCTTCCACCAGTCGTGTGTGTGACAATTGTTTTTTATCCTCCCAAGGGGTACTTTGGAGGCTGGGCTCACTGTGCAGGCTGGTGGGCAGCCCAGGCACTCCATGCCTGAGCACCCTGCTGCCCCTTCCCCTCCTCTTCTCCCACAGAGGGCTCCACGGGCAAGACGTGCCTGATGAAGGCCGTGTTGAACCTGCAGGATGGGGCCAACGCCTGCATCCTGCCGTTGCTTCAGATCGACCGGGACTCTGGCAATCCCCAGCCCCTGGTCAACGCCCAATGCACGGATGAGTACTACCGAGGCCACAGTGCCCTACATATTGCTATCGAGAAAAGGAGCCTGCAGTGTGTGAAACTCTTGGTGGAGAATGGGGCCAATGTGCATGCCCGGGCCTGCGGCCACTTCTTCCAGAAAAAGAGCCAGGGGACTTGCTTCTACTTTGGTGAGGAGCCTTTCTTGGATAAATTGAGGTGCGGAGGAGATAAGGCCGTGCCCAAGGTCACATGGTTAATGTGTGGCCGGGCTGGGCCCTTAAACCCAGATCTGTTCAACCCCAAAGGCTCATGCTTCTAATCACTGGGCTGCCTGCAAAAGCAGTTTGTCTTAGGAGATGTTTTAGCCTTGTCTGGGCAAGGAAGCTCCCTACACATCCACATCCAAACTGGGGGAGGGGAAGGGGCTGACAGAACTGTGTGTGGGAAACCTGACCAGATAGGGCCTTCATTTTATTTTATTTTATTATTTTTTAAGGATTTTATTTACTTATTTGACAAAGAGAGACACAGCGAGAGAGGGAACACAGGCAGGGGGAGTGGGAGAGGGAGAGGCAGGCTTCCCACCGAGCAGGGAGCCAGATGCGGGGCTCGATCCCAGGACCCTGGGACCATGACCTGAGCTGAAGGCAGACGCTTAACGACTGAGCCACCCAGGCGCCCCTATTTTATTTTTTATTTTTATTTTTATTTTTTTGAGATTTTATTTATTTATTTGACAGAGAAAGAGACAGCGAGAGAGGGAACACAAGAAGGGGGAGCGGGAGAGGGAGAAGCAGGCTTCCCACCGAGCAGGGAACCCGATGCGGGGCTCGATTCCAGGACTCTGGGATCATGACCCGAGCCGAAGGCAGACGCCCAACCGACTGAGCCACCCAGGCGCCCCCCTATTTTATTTTTTAAAAAATTTATTTATTTTAGAGAGAGTGAGCAAATGAGCATGGCAGGGGAGGGGCAAAAGGACAGGGAGAGTCTTAAGCAGACTCTGCACTGAATGAGGAGCCCGACTTGGGGCTAGATCTCACGACCCCGAGATCAACACCTGAGCCGAAAGCTTAGGCCCCATGTTCTGCTCCTTTAGATGGTAAAGAGCTTTGGTCACATCTCCCTTGGGTCAAGAGCTGGACAGGGCTGCCTTTACGAGTGGAAAAGGCACAGCTGCCCTCCACAGGGCCTGGGACCATCTTCCCTCATAGCACAGACCTGGGTGGGCCCGCGATCCCAAGGCAGCGTTCTGTCCTCTCCTGTGGGTGCCTGACTCTCTTGGAGGAGGCCTGGCCTTCTGTCCGGGGCGCACGAGGAGTAGGCAGGTGGAAGCTGGGAGGCCTGAGGTTCAAGCTGCCCTCCTCCCCGGCCCCCAGGCGAGCTGCCCCTCTCTCTGGCCGCCTGCACCAAGCAGTGGGATGTGGTAACCTACCTCTTGGAGAACCCTCATCAGCCCGCCAGCCTGCAGGCGGCCGACTCACTGGGCAACACAGTGCTGCACGCCTTGGTAACGATCGCAGACAACTCAGCTGAGAACAGTGCACTGGTGATCCGCATGTATGATGGGCTTCTCCTCGCGGGGGCCCGTCTCTGCCCCACAGTGCAGCTCGAGGACATCCCCAACCTGCAGGGCCTCACGCCCCTGAAGCTGGCTGCCAAGGAGGGCAAAATCGAGGTGAGTACCTAGCCCCCATCCCCTCCCCACCTGTCCAGGAAGCAACAGGACTCGCTCTGATTTTTCTGCAGAAAAAGCCTGGAGCAGTCTTCTAGATCACCGATCTCCCTACCTTTTTTTTTTTTTAATTTTATTTATTTATTTGAGAGAGAGAGAGAATGCACACAACCAGGGGGAGGGGCGGAGGGAGAGGGAGAAGCAGATTCCCCGCGGAGCAGGGAGCCGGATGTGGGGCTCGATCCCAGGACCCTGAGATCATGACCTGAGCCAAAAGCAAGAGCCGGCTGCTTCACCAACAGAGCCATTCAGGCGCCCCATAAAAACATTTCTTATGGGATTTTTTGCCCTGCAGAATTTTTACATTTTCCTATATACAACTGTAATTATGTTTTCCTTTAGAATTCCCTGGTTTTGCTACTGTTTAATGCCTTCTATGAGGCTATATATATATATAAAAGCTTGTGTGTGTGCGTGTACAGATATGTTCTGTATCCATATTTTCCACTTTTGCAGTTTTATTTTTTATGCCTGAAACTCATTTGGCTGGAAGTTATTTTGGTATAAAAAGTAAGCATGACTCAGCTCTACTTTTTTTTCTAATGACAACCAGTAGGTTGTCTGAGCCTCATTATCAGTGAGGCTTCATGGCAACCTGTGCATTTTACACAGGGCCCCATGCTTCGAACACAGGCTTTTTTAAAGGTTAAGATAAAAATAAACATAAATGGAAGTTTTACTATTTTATTCCCTGAGGTTCCTGTGGTGTGAGAACCTCCCTTTGTTGTCCAGAGGCATGGCTGGGTGGCCTTTCCTTTCCCCATTCCTCATTTGTAAAACCAAATTCCTTCTTCTTCTTCTTTGTTTTTTTTCAGATTTTTATTTATTTATTTGAGAGAGAGAGGATGAGCGAGGGGGAGGGGCAGAGGGAGAGGGAGAAGCAGACTCCCTGCTGAGCAGGGAGCCTGACGCAGGGCTTAATCCCAGGACCCATCTGATCCCAGGACCCTGAGATCATTACCTGAGCCAAAGGCAGATGCCCAACGGACTGAGCCATCCAGGCACCCCGCTGCTTCTTCTTTTTTTTAAAGTAATCTCTACACCCAACATGGGGCTCGAACTCATGACCCCGAGAGCAAAAGCCGCCTGCTCCACCGACTGAGCCAGCCAGGCACGCCAAAACCAAATTGCCCCTTAACCTGTTCGACTTAGGGATGCTTTCTAGTCTGTTGGAAGCTCTGAGCTCTGCCTGCAGAAGTGTACACATATGTGTAGCTCGGATCTCAAGGGGCCTCCAGGAGCCCCGGGCTGGGGGTCCCTCTGCCATGTAAGGAGTCCAGGAAGAGACCTCAGGGCAGGAGTGGGGAAGGCAGAGCCAGGTTCACTGCAGACCTGGACATATGTGAGTGGATGGGAGTGTTTATATTGTGGCTGAGCACGTGGGATGTGTGAGCGTTCATACACACAAGGACCTGTGTATCTGGGCTGTGTGCATGTGTCTGCTTGAGGCTTTGCAGGTGGTGGGCCGCTCTGCAGGGTGCTGAGTGTTTCCCAGGCCCCCACCCCCACCCCCACCCCCCGCAGGTCAATGCCAAGAGGTGGCCGTGGGGGCCAAGCTCCTGTGGCCCACCCTGCAGATTTTCAGGCACATCCTGCAGCGGGAGTTCGCAGAGCCATGCCGGTCACTTTCCCGGAAGTTTACTGAGTGGTGCTACGGGCCAGTCCGGGTGTCGCTGTATGATCTGGCTTCCGTGGACAGCTGGGAGGAGAACTCAGTGCTGGAGATTATTGCCTTTCATTGCAGAAGCCCGGTGAGTCCACAGGGGCAGGGGTGTGTGTAAGGGGACCCGGCACAGCTCCCTGAAACGTCCATAATTCAGGGCTGCCCGCGGGACCAAAGCTGCCCTGGGATTGTGCCCATGGGGACATGGCCACCAGGCCCATGCTCATTCCACACACCAGTCCCACCTGGGGAGCATGCTGGGGGGCCTGGGGGCAACCACTGAGGGCCCCTCTGTTGACTGGCACCTGCTCCGAGCTGGAGAATGAGGCACTCCGTCAGCCCATAGCCATGAGGGTGGGGTGGAGGCCGAGTGGGGAGGGCTCATTTGGGGTCCCCCCTCCATTTCCCTCAGCCCTTGCGTTGCGCCTGACCTGAGCGGGCCCCATATATAGCCTTGCTGAATGTACCCCTAGCTCTCACATTCCCACCCCCAGCACCGACACCGAATGGTGGTTTTGGAACCGCTGAACAGACTGCTGCAGGCAAAATGGGACCTGCTAATCCCGAAATTCTTCTTCAACTTCCTGTGTTACTTGACCTACATGTTCATCTTCACCGCTGTGGCCTACAACCAGCCGGCCCTGGAGAAGGCAAGGCCAGGCAGGGGAGCATTCTGGGGGAGGCCTCCTGGGAACGACCCTGGAAGAAGATGGGGCGTGGATAGCCAGACCCATCTGCAGATCCTCACACTGAGGCTTTGAACCCGGGCAGTCTGGGCGCCCGACCCCACCCTCAAAACCACGACAGTGTGCCTCTCTGATAGGCTAGAATGCGGGGATCCTGCCCGGGAACCCGTATTCCTTGTGTGGCTCTGCGTGGCCTCTCCAGAGCTCATGCTCAGACCAGGCCCTCGGCCAAGAGTCTCACAGTTGGAAGGGGACTTCAGGCCCCAGGTCCTACCAGAGTGTCTCTTCTGCAGGCCTTCTTGCCCCCAGAAGTGACTGCTGGAGACCCCGTGCTGCTCCTGGGCCACACCCTGATCCTGCTTGGGGGGGTCTACCTCCTCGTGGGCCAGGTGAGGGCTCTTCCCATTTCCCCCCACCCCCACCCCAAGACTCCACAACTCTGTGGGCTCCCAGAAACCCCCAGAAGCAAACGTAGAATCCCGCCAGGAGGGGCCTTGGAGAGAGTTAACCACAATCCCTTCATTTCTCCGGAAACCATGGAAACCGAATCCCCTACCCAGTCCCACCCCTCCCAGCCTCAGGGCAGCTGAGGGCCTTGGGTTCTGGGGCTGGTACCTCCCTGCTGTGCTTTCTGGGGTGCCCGTGGGGTACCACGTGACTCCTGTGACTCCTCGGCAGTGCCCCCACCCCCAGGTCCCTTGGCTGGGGCATTCCTCACTTGGGGACCACAGACAGGTGGGCGGGGGCAGGTTCAGGCCGACTCCCCCAGCAGGGCCTTTTGAGGTGAAAATGCGGGAGACAAGGCTGGGCACTGTGACACTGAGCCTCTCTCAGAGTGGGCAGGACTTCGGGACCAGATCCAGGTTGGGGGGGGTGTCCATGTGAGGCCAGGGGGAGGGGAGGGGAGGGGAGGGAGCTCTTCCCCTCACTAGGAGTAGTAAGCGGGTTCATCTGGATCCATGGGGAGCTCGGAGGCCCCTGGCATTGTCTGGATGTCCGTGGGTGACTACACTTTCTGGAAACAGGCTTCAAAGCTTTCTCAGCTATCAGCAGGATTCATGAGCCCCAACCCCCTCCCAAAGTCCAAGAGGCTGCTTGAGCCCCTGAGGTCACAGAGCCAGGCCAGCAGGGAGGGGCACAGTTGGGGAGCCCAGGCTAAGGCCCCACGGCCTGGAGAGCACATTTCACACCCCCTGTGCTCCTTGTCCCACAGCTGTGGTACTTCTGGAGGCGCCGTCTGTTCATCTGGATCTCCTTCATGGACAGCTACTTTGAACTGCTCTTGTACGTGGGCCCTCCCTCCCCTCCCCTGTCTCAGGCCCCGGAGAGGCTGGTATGGCAGAAGGCACCAGGCTGGCTTGAGAGGAGAGGACCCAGAGCCAGGGAGTGCCGGGGGCCTGGGACCAAAGTCAGGCCTGGGCCTCCCATCCCTGAGAATTCCCTGTGCACTTGATTGGGTCCGGCCCCAGACAGATGGAGACCTTCTCATGCATCAGGCTGTGGTGGGAGAGGGCGCAGTGATCAGCAATCTGTAATGTGGGGGTGGAGGGGGGCCCCTGCCAGGCGGCCTGCGAGCTGACCCCAATTCTGTCCCCACACAGCCTGGTGCAGGCCCTGCTCACGGTGCTGTCCCAGGTGCTATGCTTCCTGGCTGTGGAGTGGTACCTGCCCCTGCTTGTGTCCCCGCTGGTGCTGGGCTGGCTGAACCTGCTTTACTACACACGTGGCTTGCAGCACACGGGCATCTACAGTGTCATGATCCAGAAGGTGAGAGACGAAACGGGGGTGGCCCCAGTGTAGCCTGACCAGGCAAAGCTGGGCACCCCACTCCAGCAGGGCTCCTTTGGGCCTCAGCGGGCAGGCACCCTCCTCCACAGCTGACCTGGGCAGAGGAAAACGCGAGAGCACGTCTGTCTGTGCCTTACAAAGGCAGCCGCTCGCGGACTGTAGGCAGGAGTATGAGCGTGCAGGCGTCTGCTCAGGGGTCTGTGCTCTGCACCGGTAAGCAAACACGTGACCCCAGGGGAGTATGTGCATCCTAGCCCAGTGGAGGAGTGGATACCATGCACATTAGCTCATCTGCCTACCCGTGCCTGGGACGTCCAGGCATGTGGACTTTTCCGTATTCATTTACTTATTCAACCAAAGTTTAGGAAGTGTGTCCTGCAGGCCAGGCCCTGTTCTAAGTGTTGGAATACGCTCCTTTGGTCGCTAACAAAATGGGCAAGTCCTCACCTCTGCTGCAGCTGACATTCTGGTAGGGGACCTGAAAACACTAAGAGAGACAGATGAGAACATTACAGATTGCTCTATGCTATTTTTTTTTGAGAGAGCGAGTGAGGGGAAGGGGGCAGAGGGAGAGAGAGAATCTTAAGCAGACTGGGGGCTCGATCTCACGACCCTGGGATCATGACCTGAGCTGAAATCCAGAGTCGGATGCCTCACTGTCTGAGCCACCCAGGCGCCCCTGATTAGATGTTTTTGTAAAGACTGGTCCACTCTGTGTAGCTCCACGGGGCCTCATGTATGCACACATTTGTGCGTGTGGGTGCTGTGTACATGGGAACCCATGCTCGGGGCTGAGAAAGGGGTCGGGGGTCAGGCCCGATGGCCCAGCCACCCATCCTGGCTCCTGGGTGTGTGTGTTCTAGGTCATCCTGCGGGACCTGCTCCGCTTCCTGCTCGTCTACTTAGTCTTCCTTTTCGGCTTCGCTGTAGGTAAAGACCCCCCTCTCGCCCCTGCCTATCCCTTGCCCACTCTGTACACCCTGGAGGCTGCCCCCTGGCCTCCCCAGGCTGAGGATCCTCCTTCACTCCCCACCCTGCAGCCCTGGTGAGCCTGAGCCGGGAAGCCCAGGCCCCCTGGGCCCCCAGGGGCCCCAATGCCACGGAGGCAGCGCAGCCTGGGGCAGGACAGACGGATGAGGAGGGCAGCTCTTCCCCATACGGTGGCATCCTGGACGCTTCCCTGGAGCTGTTCAAGTTCACCATCGGCATGGGTGAGCTGGCCTTCCAGGACCAGCTGCGCTTCCGCGGGGTGGTCCTGCTGTTGCTGCTGGCCTATGTGCTGCTCACCTACATCCTGCTGCTCAACATGCTCATCGCCCTCATGAGCGAGACCGTCAACAGTGTCGCCACTGACAGTTGGAGCATCTGGAAGCTGCAGGTGCGGCTGGCGGCTCCCCTCCCTCTGCCTGAGGTCTGGGCCCCGTGAGGAGCGTGCAGGACCCAGCTGAGCTGAGCCTGGCCCCCCGCCCCCCATCCTTGCTTTCCTTCTTAGGGCTATCGTGAGGATCGAATAAGCTCATAGATCTAGAGCCCTTGGGACGGGGCCTGGCACACAGTAGGTGCTCAATGTGTTACTCATGATCATGCTCATGATCAAGTATTTCTTGAGAGCCTACCGCAAAGCTCGGCTTGGTTCTAGGTGCAAAACACACAGCCGAGAATGAGCCCTCATGCAGCTCCCTTCTGTGTTCATCATACAGTCAGTGGGCTCGTGGGTGAGGCAGGATGTGCAATCCTGGGACTGGGCCCAGCCTGGGGGGAGTCGGGGTGCAGAGGCCCCTGTAGCTGGGGGCTGATGTGACACCTGCCTACTGTAAAAGCAGTACCTGCTTCCGGAGCGGAGGTGGGCAGTTGGTGCTCAGAGAGCCTTGCTGGGAAGGTGGACTCTTACTGATTCACCGTTGAGCTTGGGCAAGCACCTTACTCCTCTTGAGCCTGCGCCCTCACCTGCAAGTTCAGTGCTCCACCTAATTCACTCGTGTGCCAGTGGGCAGGCGCATGTGTGGGCAGAGCAAATAAGCTTCTGCACCCCGTGGTGTGGAATTCTGGAATCTGTAACCATGCAAGTAATTGCTGGGCACGCATTATGTGCTGACTTCCCAACATCCGTCCATCTGCAATCGGGGAAACTGAAATTCAGGGGGAGCTGCGGGGCTTCCATCCCTCACGCAATCAAATGTTGGAGCTAGACCCAAATCCACGTGCTTAGCAGACTCTGGGTTATACTGTCAAGTGCTGTGAGGTACCTCCCTGGCTACTGTCTGATGTGTCCTTTATCCCCAGAAAGCCATCTCTGTCCTGGAGATGGAGAATGGCTACTGGTGGTGCAGGAGGAAGAAGCAGCGGGCTGGTGTGAAGCTGACCGTCGGCACCAGGCCAGACGGCAGCCCCGACGAGCGCTGGTGCTTCAGGTGAGGGAGGGAGGCAGGGAGGCAGGGGAGGGCGGCTTGGGGGCCTTGCTCTCCCTGTGGCCCCTGGAGGCTGCCGTGGGGCAGGCCAGCCTTACTCTTTTTTTTTTCTTTAAAGATTTTATTTACTTGACCAAGAGAAAGAGAGAGAGAGAACAAGCAGAGGTAGTGGTAGGCAGTGGGAGAGGGAGAAGCAGGCTCCCTGCTCAGCAGGGAGCCCGATGCGGGACTGGATCCCAGGACCCTGGGATCATGACCTGAGACGAAGGCAGATGCTTAATGATGGAGCCACCCAGGCGCCCCCACTTTTTAAAATTTTTATTTAAGTAATCTGTATACCCAATGTGGTGCTGGAACTCACGACCTGGAGATCAAGTCACATGCTCTTCTGAGTCAGTCAGGCGCCCCCCCCAGCTTTACTCTTTTTTTTTTTTCAGCTTTACTCTCTTAAAAGCTGCCAGGAGTCAGTCAGGGAGAGGCAGAGCCTAGGAGCACCAGGCACTCTGCCCTGGGCGGGGGAGGTCAGGGATGCCGGATCCCACAGGGCCAGGCCTGACACTCACTGCCTGTCCCCTCCCTGGTGGCCCCTGACCTACTCCTTCTAGCCTGAAATAGGGAACAGTTAGGAGGCCAAGAAGCCAGAGGGACCCTCAGGTTAAGCACACTAGCCTCGCCTGGCTGGTCTGCTCTGCCCTCCCCACTCCCCCAGCCTGACCACAGAGGCGATGACCCTCCCACAGAAAACAAAGCTTCCGTGGGAGAGAGAACCTGGTGACAAATGCACAGCCAGAAACACGCTGTGGTAAGACAGCAGTTGAGCAAGGAGAGGGGAGGGGTCTTCGGCCTGTGCAGTAGCTGCAGAAGGGCTCCGGAGCCCAGGAACGCAAAGACACACCTGATCGAGACTCTTCTCTAGATGTTGAGGGCAAGCCAGGTCACTGTGCACAGCCTGAAGGGACAGATGCCTTTTCCTCCGCTGCAGACATGTGGCCCAGGGGGCAGCAGGTGATAGGCACAAGGGCGGGGGGGCCTGGGGCGGGATGGTGGGTGGCCCAGTGTCCAGTGAGAAGGGTGGCGAAAGCCCATCCTTCTCCCGGTTCCCTGTGGCTACCGGTGTCTACGTGGGCCCCTCTCCTGGGGCAAAGCATGCTGCACAGGTGGCTTCCCGGAGCCTCTGAGCTGCTCTGTTGCCCTCAGGGTGGAGGAAGTGAACTGGGCCTCATGGGAGCAGACGCTGCCAACTGTGTGTGAGGAGCCATCAGGGCCGGCTGTCCCTGGTGAGTAGCCGCGGTGGCCGGACCCCCTGCCCTGGAGAGAGAGAGAGTGTGTGTGTCTGGGCCAGGACCCCCTCCGTGTCCAAGCACTTCTCGCCTCTCCACCCCCACCTCCTCACTGGCCTGTTTCAGGCTGTCACCTGGGAGACACTGAGGCTGTTGCTGCTTCCCCCAGTCCAGCCTTAAACCTGCCCTCACCTCCCGCCTCCTGCACTGTTCGGTGGGTCCTCCAGCGCCAGGCCTGGGCTGCGCCTGGGGACCCAGCAGGGGAACAGGTTAGAAAGGGCCCCTCACCTATCCCCTAGCTGCGGGGGCATCTCCCTGAGCCCCCACTGACAGGCCAGCCTTGCTGATCCCCAGCTTTCCCCGACTACCGGAGCCCCAGCCCCCACAGCCCTGAGAAGTCACTTCTGATGCCTTTCCCCACTGTCATGGGCTGCGTCCTGGCCGTTCTAGTGTGGGGACTGCTTCTCCTGTCTCTACCCTGCTGCCTTCCCCCGAGGTTCTTGGCTCCTTCCTCTCACCCAGAGGCCTGTTCCGAGGCTTAACTTTCTCCACAGCATGCCCTTTCTGGACGCTTCAGTAGCTCCCACTTCATCCGCAGTCGGCTCTCCTCTCCTTTCGCCTTCTCTTTCCAACAGACTCCACTTGCTTGTGTCTGTGGCGCCGACCCCTCCCCATGACAGCACCCATATCACCTCTGACCCCTGTGTAGGGAAGCTCCTCCAGACTCTGGCCCCAAGGCCTGCTGGTTTCCCAGGCTCCTGGGTCCCTGACCATGGCCCTCACAAACCCATAGGTTGTCTGCCTGCCCTCTTTGTGTCTCCCTTCCCGAGTCCTGCCACCCCGTCATTTCAGTGCCAAGACTCTGAAAGTCACCTTGCCCCACATCTTGCCCCAAGCATTCCACACCCCGGTCCCATACCCATTGCCTGCTGGGGCTTCCACCTGGACATCCCCAACAGGAACGGCTGTGGGGTTGCCCTACCAGGTAGTGTGCGTGCAACCCCTCTCTCTCCTCACCCAGGCAGGAGGCCTTGACTATCTCTGCTCAATGTCCCCCTCAGCCTGGTGCTGAGTATCTTCAGAACCTCCCAGGCGGCTACTTACCCCTCTGCCCCCACCCCTCATTTCTCCCCCTTCTGCACACTGCAGGGCTCAGTCTGCACCCTCTCCCTTAGACAAGTCTTTCTGCTCCAGGCTTATCCCTCTAATGCAGACAGAAACCACATGAGGCCCATGCTCTGCACCTCCCACTGCCTGCAAGGCCTCACTCCTCAGGGAAGAGGCGAAGCTCCAGTGCTGTAGTCTGACCCATTTCCCACACCTCTCTCCATGCGACAGCCGGTCCCTCCACAGTGTTCCCTGTTTTTTGCTTTCCTTGGCTCTCTGCGGAAGTGTCATTCCTGCTCCTCTGGGTGTCCAAATCCGCTGCCTTCCTTACAGGTTGGGTTCACTCTCTCCTCAGAGCTCCCTGAACACCTACTTGTCACTTCTTCCAGCTCTTCAGCAAGTCTCAGGTGTTCTGGTTTCTAACCCAAGGGATGTTGAGCTCCTGGGAGGAGGCCCCCGATGGCACCAAGTCAGGGGTTCAGGAAGTGCCTGTGGAAGGGGGAGGTAGGGAGAGGCATTGCTGGGGATTTCAGGATTACCTGCTATACACAGAGTATGTGGTTTCATGGCTGTGGCCTCCTCCTGTTTGTCCTCCTGGGGACACAGCCCAAGGGCCAAGCTGCAGTGCTCTCCATCCTATTTACAGGCACCTTGAAGAATCCTGCCCCGGCCTCCCAACTAGAGGAGGACACTGTCTCAGAGGAAGATCAACTGCCCCTCCAGCTCCTAAAGTCTCAATAATGGCCCAGATGCAGGACAGAGTCAGGGGATCTTCCCAGCCCTACGTGCTGGCTCTGGGGCTCCAGGAAACTTTGGTGGCAAATGTAAATAAATATTTTCTCATCACTAACTCTCCTGGAAATATTGTTTAAGCAAAGTTTGTGGGCTCTTGGGCTGGTTGATATCTGCGTGTCTCTTGGTGAGCATTTCTCTGTCTTGGGGCTGGGCTACTCTCAGCCTCACTCAGGCACGGGAGACCCTTCCCTGCTGGCCCCCAGCCTCGGGGTGGTCCTTTTCCTGGATGCTGTGCCCGCTTTCATGACAGATGTGTGGTGGTGGACACAGGCAACACAGCCACCGCTCCTCCCTCTCCCACAGCTTCTGGACACCCCTTAAAGCCACCTCCAAGATCTCTCTCAAAGCCTTTGAGCTCCCTGGCTTCCTTCAGGCTCTGGATTATTGGTTTCTTTCCCTTCTGGGCTGCCTGCTCAGTTCCTACCCCTCCGAGCTGTTCTGCAGGGCAGCCAGAGGGGCCTTCCCAAGATGGAAGAGAAACATGTTACCCCTGCACCCTGAAGGCTTAAGAGGCTCCCCCAGTGCCCGCAGGACGCCCTAGTTGGCATCCCCAGTCCCCCACGGTTTTAACCCCGAATTTCCAGACACCTCATCCCAGATACCCCTGCTGCTCCCCATGCTCTCCTTAGCACTTTTACCAAATTCTTCAGGCAGACTGATGAACCTGTGTAATCTGACCCCCTGACTTGGCTCTTGCTGGAAGCCCCCGCCCCGCCATTAAAATCCTTCAAATTCTAAGACCAGAAAGTTGTCTCGCGGTAGCTTTTCCAGTTTTCTCCAGTCCAAATGAATTGCTCTTCCTTGGTGGAACGAATGTTTATAAAATGCGTATGCACTGAATAGTTTTTAAGTGGCAGAGACCTGAGCTCGTGCAAAGGCTGAAAGGAAAGCATCTGCGGAGAGGGAGAGGTTTCCATCGCCGGTGGGTTGGGGAACGGATGCAGGAGTCCTAAGGCATCAGGAGGAAAGGGGTGGAGAGGATGGAAGTGGTACCAGCTAAGACGTCTGCTCGCTCCTTAGGGGTCATCCTCAAGGGGGGTGATGAGAGCTGTCAGCGCGCAGAGGTTCTGAAAGGCTCCGGGGATATTCGGAAATAGCCGTGGGGAGAGAGCGGACGGGCAGCAAGAAGAATTAGAAGCAGCTACTATTTTATGAAGGCTTGCTGCCTGCTAAGGCTCTGCAGGGTTTCAAGTGTGGTATTTCACGCGATCCTCAGAACAACCTCTGCGGTGCCGGTAGCTTCATTTACCACATGAGCAATCGGAAGCTCACAAAGGCTGAGTAATTTGCTCCAAAACATGCAGCTAAAAACGGACCTTGGTCGCAACAGCCCTCCACCCGCTGCGCATGCGCCCTGAAACACTCCGGGCGCCGCGGGACCCAGAATTCCCGGGGCCATGGAAGAGACCATCAGCTCCAACGGAGGGGGTGTCCCGGGGTGATGAGGCGGAGTCTGACTCGTCAAATGGGCTGGAAGTTCCCGTGAGTCTTTGCCCGTATTACCCTCCCTTCTGTGAGGAATGGAATGTTCCGACTCCTTAAAGGGCCGGGCCGCAGCCGCGGTGACCTTTCTGTTATCGTGGTGATGGGGGTGAGTGTTTTGTGTAGTTGGGCCTAGTAGTTGGCGGCAAGGGCGAAGGAGCTAAAGACTTCTTAATTCCCGGGAAGAAGTCTTCGGGAAGCTTCCGTGGGGGGCGCAGGGCGGCTCCTTAAAGCGCGTGTCCGGGCTTCGGGGCGGGCGCGGAGGTGGGGGAGAGTCGCGCAGGGCCGCCGGGGGCCGAGGCTCAAGGCCCGCGCGCGTGTCTGTCCGGCAGGGCCGCCGCTGCAGTCTCAGGAGCCTGAGGTCCCCGAAGGCCGGGCCCCCGCTCCCCGCACCCGGCGTGGGGGGTGCGCCAACCCCGGAGGACTGGGTGAGTGCGGCCCCGGGGGGAGGTTGGGAGTGGGACCGCGAGGAGGGCGTGCCCGACTGTGCTGATGATACTGGGATTAGGAAGTGCCGTCAGAAGCGATAACTGACGACTTTGATGCGTGTCTGACCGCAGTCGCCGAAGCCGCAACGGTCTGGTTGAACATCGCTGCCACAACCTGCCCTTAACGCGTGTCACCCTCCATGTTCCAGGTGGCAGAACCCTCGCAGCGCCTTCAAGCCGGGAGCGGCCTCCCACCCTGAGGTAAGACCCAGCCTGGGCAGGGTTTATAACACCTAACTTTGTTTTTTCGTCTTTGTTAGTAAATGCACTGGAGTCGGCTGCTCCTTTCCAGTTTTATGCATTGGGCAATGCATAAAATTGCAAACATAGCATGGGGCCTCAAGTGGAAATTGGAGGAGGCTACTCCTAACCTGGAACTATTTCAACCGCGGCTATAGCCAGAGATAAACTCCCAGTTAAAATGCAACGTCCCCGTTGTTTCCCAAGCAGTTGCGACTTAATCCCAGGTCCCGTTCCAGGTTTCTGGAGCAGTACTGGGGAGCGGGGAGGTGTTGACTGCTCTGATGAAATCACTTATAGGAAGTGCCGTCAGAAGCGATAACTGACGATAACTGTTCCTGGCTGACTGCAGTCAACAAGGCCTCCCGAGCTGCCGCTGCCCTGGAGTAGGTTGGTTTGAACAGTGACCTTTTCTCGTCTATTCACCCAGGTTGCAGATGAGTGTGGGGTCGGCAGTGTGTGATCAGATCGGCAGCAGAGCGTTCGAGGGACGAGCACTGGCCTGCCTTGAGGTAAGCTTGCGGATTGCATAGCTGTTAGATGATGTAAAGTTCCCGTTAGGTCGGGCAGTGGCACTTTGGTTAACCTAATAACTCGAATCAGCATAGCCCTTGACCTTTATCGACAGTATCCCAGAGACACTGATTATGGTTAATGGTGGCAGCGGAGCGGAGGGCAGAGGAAAGCCAGGAGTTCCTTGTTACCTCACTGCTGTAAAATCCTGAGGTGTAGCTTTCCTCATCCTTGAAGATGACAGCTTTAGGTGTGTGATGTTTAAAATGATGGGATGAAATGAGGTGGAACACCCAGAGAAGCCAGTTAGGACGTGTGGACGTAACGTGGCTTCATTTACAAAAAAAAACACCTCCAGTAGGTTAAGGGCTCCTGAGACGAACTGGAATTTGTAGTTGAGGCTATCATGATCAAAACTGCTGTCTTTTCTGCCTCATCTGCTGCCTGTCTAGGGGTGCCTTAATTCGTTCCCCCAGGTTTTGTGTGCTGAGGTGCTCAAGAATGGTGGTCTGCGGTGTGGAGTTTGAAAGCTGGAGGCGGCAGCCCTTTAGCTTGAGGAGAGAGGTAAGCTTCCATTGACAAGGACCCCTCCCCCCCCGTGGTGGAATGAATAAGCGGCTAGTATCGTTAAAATTGATTTTCAGAAAAAGGATATCAAATGATGAAATCACCCAAAATAGCTGGAATTACCGGCAGATTGTGTAGTGGTGAACGTAAGGTTTTCTGAAGATAACCTTTTTATGCTGTGAATAGCTGTTGGTTGGAGTAGAAAGTGATACTTAGTGATACTGATAACTTAGTTTTCTTGCAGGCTATTTTCCCAGAGAATGGTCAGCCATGCTGCAGCAGGGGAAGAACTTGAAGTTTCGAGGACCAGTGGTCACCATACCATCAGTTTGGACTGAAAACCCAGGCTTCAACAGTGGGTGTGGAAACAATACTTGTGTTGAGATTCTGAGGCCATTCTCTTAACCAACAGAGCCAACAAATGTGTTTGGCAAACTTGCTAGGATATTACGCTAGGATAGGCACTGTTGGTGTCATTGAATTCATGAGCTTTCTAGTAATGTATTATATTGTATTTTTAGCTCCCCTGCCCAAAGAGAGCTTCTATACCTGTAAATTTTGTATAAATTTGTTCTGTTGGGTGAGGGTCTGAGTTCTTTAAGCTGCAAATGTATTTCTTCCTGAAACTGATAAGTCTGTGCAATTACCACAAACTGCAATAAAGGATGGCCTTGGGTGCCTGGGTGGCTCAGTCGTTGAGCGTCTGCCTTCGGCTCAGGTCATGGTCCCAGGGTCCTGGGATCGAGCCCCGCATCGGGCTCCCTGCTCGGCGGGAAGCCTGCTTCTCCCTCTCCCACCCCCCTCCCCTGCTTGTGTTCCCTCTCTAGCTGTGTCTCTCTCAAATAAATAAAATCTTTAAAAAAATAAAGGATGGTCTTTAGTACTGGTTTTTAAAAACGTGTATTTGAAGAAAAAAATTTGGTCACTGCTGTCAAATAAGCAGTCCAGGTATTAGCACTTGTCAGCTTGTCCATGGTCAGTCTAAGCTGTTTCCCCTCTGTAACAACTTTAGACTTGAGGGTAAAAGTTCCAAAGCATTTAAGGCATCCACACCTTTGATTCCAGTCTGCCTTTGGGCTGTGTCCTTGTGCATAGCCTTCTACCTCCTGAAGCTCTGTACTACGCTCAGCCAAGCACCTGGACAGTGGCAGGCAGGGTCCCCATAGTGTGGCTCTTCACCCATCCCGTCTTGGTGGCTTCCTGAGTTGGGATCTCACCTGTCACTGGGCTAGAGGCCGGACAGGCCAAGCTTCCCAGCTGTCTGCCGTTTGCCTGAGTGGTCTGGTCACCACTGTGGGCATCTAAATTTTCTTAGCTAAAAGAAACATTGGTCTCCAGTCTCCCTGGACTTGAAGTCTTTGCCTTGGTTGTAGGGCTTGTGCCTAGAAGGGATTTTCACCTGGTAGGTCTTGAGTAGGGAGAAGAGATGGTGAAAACCATTGTTCACTCGGGACCCTCTAGTTTCTCATCTCCTAGCTGTGTTGCTGGGGGGTACTAGATCTGCCAAGAGTTGCAAGTCTAACCTCATTTTCATGGTCTTCAGTTTTTTAGGAGCCTTCCATCATAGGTTTTTGGGAGTGAGCCCAGTTACCCTTGATGACTTCCTTGGGGACTCCACCAGAAACAGAAAAAGGTCTTTAAAATCCTTTTGAAGGGAAGTAGTAGTACTCTGACTTGGAACACTGCAACCCTACCAAAGGTCTGGTAGTCTTAGGCTGGGTCGGGGGGGATGGTGGGGGGTTTCTGGGCGCATGCCGTGTATGTAGGCATGCTAGGACACTCTTGAAGGGTAGAGGGTGGCTGGTCCCCGGGGCAGGGCCTGGAATACCCCAGGGAAGTACGGGCTTAAGTGGAGGCTGCGACTGGGAAGTGGTTCCTCGGACCCCCCAGGGCTTCACAGGGAGGAGGTAGACCACCTTCTAAGATGGGGACTAGGCTCTGGGAGTCTCGGGGGAGCTGGTCAGTGCCTCTACCCCAACCACCTTCAGCCGGGTGTTAGGGTAGAGAAAAAGGGTTCTATCGGGAGATACTGGGTTAGGTGTAGGGCTGAAACTACACTCCATTCCTGGGATAAGTTCTTACCCACATGAGCTCAAGCTTTCATCTGTAAACAGACCACCCACAAATCTGGGGAGGCTGAGGGCTACTGCCCCTCAAGCCATGTGGGGTTTCTCAGGAGCCAAAAGGCAGATGAGATTGACAAGAGGGGGAAGTGGAGAGGACCGAAGGGAAGAATTACACAGCCCCCTTCCCAGATGATACAGTCTGGCTCCAGTGAGTGGGACTGCCCAGGCCAATTTTGGGTGATTGCCTGAGGCCCCCGGTGGGGACCCCCTCGCCTGCCTCAGTCATCCTACCCCACCAGGACTCCCTGGTGAGGACCCCCACTTCTGTGTCATGTCTGAACTGCACCTACAGTCTCCCTGCCCTCATGGTCTTTGGCAGGATCCAGAGGGCCTCCCCCAGGGTCCTCCTGGCCCACTGTGCCATCCCGGGCCTCCTCCCCACTGCCCGGGCCCTCGCCCAGCTCCAAGATGGTGGGTAGGTGGCCCTGCTTCGGGGAGCGCTTGCGCAGGCTGAGCAGGAAGGGCTGGGGCAATGAAAAGATGTCCACATTGTTGCCCAGGTCGATCCACGTGACGTTGGGGAACTTGCCGGGGTCCTTGAGGGTGTCGGTGAGGTCACGCAGCAGGGCCCGCGTCAGCCGGTTGCCGTTGAGTGCCAGCGTGGTGAGGCGGGGCAGTGTGCTGAGCACGGGCAGCAGCTGCAGGACCATGTCATCGGTGAGGCCCGTGAAGCCCAGCTCCACGCTATCCACCTGCTCCCCACAGCGCTGCAGGTAGCTGGTCACCCGCTCCAGGTCCCGGGAGGTCAGCGGGATGCCTGACAGGTCCACGGTGTTGTCCGGAGGGCTCCCAGCCAGGACAGCCTTGAGGCTGCGGGGGAGAAGCGACAAGCCAGGTTCAAGCAAGTGGGGCCGGCCTTCTGGACGCAGCAGTGGCCGGCACCGAACTCTGCTCTGCGCCTCCAGGGACGGGAGAAACCGAAGACCTCTGGTCCCCTGGCACTACCTCACATCTCAGCCCGGCTGGGCCCAGCTGCCCAGAGCTTGAGGGGCCACGGGGGAAAGACCCAGAGGTTTCTGCAGTGACTACGGGTACATTCTAGGGCCGTGGTGCCTGGGTTTGCATCTTAACTCTTCTTCCTACTTGCGTGAGCTCTAATCAGTTCCTTAACTTCTCTGTGCCTCACTTACCTGAACAAAGGAGCTACTTGAGTACCACGGAATTGTTAACGAGAAATAAGGTAATGGACGCAGAGCATTTAGAACAGTGCCTTGTGTACACGAGAGTGATGAATGAATATTTGCTGATGACATTATGAGTCATCTAGACTGAGCTTCCTGCTTCCCCAAGAGCAGCACAAAGTCTCTCGAGCCCTGTGTTCCAAGACAGTCTTGCCCACCAGATGGGGAATCCTTAGGGAGAGCCCTTAGGGGAGGGTGCAGGGGCTCTGAGCCTGGGGCGGGGAGGGGGGGGGAGGCGGGTAGCTGCTGACTCCTGGAGGCTCAGGGCTCTGCACCCCATTCCACTCCTTGCCATCTGGTACTCCTTGCTCTTCTTCCTGGTCCTTGCTCTGCGGCCAGAGCTGCCCATTTCCAGGTACCCCAGGCAAGCCCTGCGGCCCTAACGGCGGGAGAGAGGAAGGTAGAGGGGGCTCACAGCCTGTTTCAAGAACATAGGTTAACATTAGCAGCCCAAGGATCACGGCTTGGACTTCCTCTTGGCAAAACAACATTAAGTCTCTATCCTCGAGATCTGAAGCTGGAAGGCTGCTTATAGCTTCCCCCTCTTGCCTCTCAGAGTGTGACCTCTAAGTGCTTGAAACACTGCGGGGCATTTGTTCAGGGTGACCGAAGGACTGGCTGTGGTCAGTGTCACTAATAAAGCAGACCCATTACACCTGGGAGATAGCGTGTGGTTAACAACCTGAGCCTGGGGTTTGAATCCAGCCCTGCCACTTAGCAGCTGGGTGATCGTGGCCAGTCAAATGGCGACAGTAACAGCCCCTACCTCATTCACTCCTTCAGCAGGTGTTTTTAAGCTCCCGCTGTGTGTCGGGCACTGTCCTAGGCACTGACTAGTGTGATGGGAAGCCACCCGAGGGGAGTGAGGCTTTTGAAATGAAGAATGGATGAAGCCTGCACGTGTGCTGGGGAGACAGAAGAGGAGGCTCCTGGATTCCAGCCGAGCTCACACTTCTAGCTTTTCAATCCTAAAGAACTAGGTCACAGACTCCTCATGGCATTCCAGGTCCTATGGGTCCTCCTGCTCTGCTCTGCCCCCACGTACAGCTCCTGACTTCAGCCCAGTTGGAGCCCCATCTTTGACTCTCTCTTCCTTCACCTGGCGAGGCATTCCAGGATCCAGCTCCTCTCCTGGCTTTGGGGTGGAAGAGTCCAGAAGGGAAAGAGGAACCAGAGCTCTTGTCAGTGAGGGAGGGCAGTCCTGCCCCTACCCAGTCTAGGGGAAGGGCACAAGCCACTCTGCCCCATGGTCGTGTACAAGAAAAGCAGGGGTGCTCCCTCCAGAAAGCCTAACGTCCTAGGCTCCCCTTTACTTGCTTCCAATGGTGCTAGCTGTCTCTGCCCACAGGTTCTGTGTCTCATGTGCCCCCAGCCCCCCAGTCTTCTTCAGGGGGCCATAAAACCCTTGAGGCTTCTCACTGCTGTGTGGCCCAGGGGTATGGCTGGGGACTGGGTCTCCCTAGGAGACATCCAGGAGAAGTAGGGGATCCAGTGGGAGTGCCCACATTTGGCACACCAGAAATTAGAAGGCCTCATGTCTTCCTCCCCACCCACCCCTTCTGAATGGGCCCAGACTCCCCAGTTCCCAACCCACAGACCAGGGAGGGCCCCACCGGCAGCTCCCCTCATGGCTCATGCCCACCCGGAATGCCCTCCTGGCTCCTCTCTCCACCCAACCCTGAATTCTCCTTCAATCTCACCTCCTTCAGGCACCTTCCAAGGCAACCCCTCTGGCTCTAATTCTCCCTTCACCCCTGGGAGGGAGGTGCTGTGTAGCCCAGCCTGGCATGGATTCGCTCTAGGTTGCCCTTCTAGAAGGAGGCCGGGCGGGGGCAGGGCAGATCCGGCTCAGGTGACTGAGACTCACCAGGCCTGCGGCTTCCTCTTCACCAGCCCCCGGTGCCGCCTCCACTGGGAGTGGGGGCTCAGGTGGTAGGTCAGCTGCCGGCATAGCTTCTCCATGGCGCCCAGCGCATCGCCTTCCTGCAGAGACAACCACAGGCAGGGGGCCCCTGAGTCAGGGAGATCAGGCGCTCCCCTCCGGCTTCCTGTCTCCATGGGATGAGCATGGCACCCCCAGGCTGAGCTGGGGGATGCTTGCTCTGGGGCTCCCGCTGGGCCCCCTTAGCAGAAAGCAGTTGCTTGCAAATGGAGCTGCACAATGGCTCTCTCTGGTTTCTGAGAATTAGTTGCTATCGTGGCAAAACTGAGATTGATATAAAACTCTACATTCACAATCTGACAATTGACCAGAGCTAAGTGCTGGCTGACCCCTGAGCCAATATTCATCATCGTCCCTGCCTCTCCCCGGTGACCAGGGCCATTCTGCTCACTCGTTTGCTCAACGAAGGATTACTGAGCACCTACTAGGTGCCAGGCAATTGTTTTAGGCAAGAAGAAGAAAGGGAAATATTTTTATGATGTCACAAGTGGGAAAATAAACAAGTGAGGAGTCCAGGTCTTTTCCAGCACAATTCATTCATCTACTGTAATCTGTCTGGCCCATCAGCACTTTTTTTATTACTTTATTTTTTAAAAGATTTTATTCATTTATTTGAGAGAAAGAGTGTGCAAGCGAGAGAGCAGCAGAGGGAGAGGGAGAAGCAGACTCCCCACTGAGTTGGGAGCCTGATGTGGGGCTCTATCCCAGGACCCGGAGATCATGACCTGAGCTGAAGGCAGCCATTTAACCAACTGAGCTACCCAGGCGCCCCAACATTTTTTCTTTTAAATAAGCTCTACACCCGATGTGGGGCTTGAACTCATGACCCCGAGAACAAGAGTCGCACACTCTACCGACTGAGCCAGGCGCTGCAGGCCCATCAGCTTTTGCGTTTGAAACCCTGGGCATTATGTCCTGAATTGCGTCCCACCCAAGTTCTTAAATTTAAGTCCTCAACCCAGGTATCTCAGACTGTGACTGTATGTGGAAACAGGGCATCTAGAGAGCAATTCAGTTAAAATGAGGTCATTTGGGGTGGGCCCTAATCCAAAATGACTGGTGTCCTCATGAAAAGAGATTAGCTCACAGACACGCCTAGAGGAGAGACCATGTGAAGACCCTGGAGAAGCCAAGGAGAGGACTCAGAAGCAACCAACCCTGCCAACACCTTGATCTTGGACTTCCAGCCTTCACAGCTATGAGAAAATAAATTTCTGTTGTTTAAGTGGTATTTTGTTATGGAGGCCCTGACAAACTTACATTGGGTTAAAGTGTGCAGCAGAGAGATGCTAGAGACTCCATCTCCGTCCCAAGGGAAGTCAACTCAATAGACAGTCACCAAGCCCTGGGGGAGGGGGGGGGCCAAGAGCGTGTGAAGTTCAACCATGAGCTCACGTCCAGCGCCTGGCACACAGTGAGCACTCAATAAAGGTCAGCTGGATGGTTGTTACCATCATCACTCTGCTAATGGAGACTCAGCATATTAAGTACTTAAGAGCATGGACTCGGAGCCAAACCATGTGGATCTGAACCCTTGCTTTGTTACCTCCTCTGTGACCTTGGGCAAGTCACTTGACCTTCACTCTTCCTCTGTGAAGGGATAACAGAACCCAGCTCACGGGGCATTTTGTGAGAATGCAATGAGTCACTATTTGCAGAGGGCCTGTGACTATAGCTCAGCTCACAGCAAGCTCTGCAGGAATGCTCACTACAGCAATAACTAGAAGAGCAACAAAGACATGCAAAACTCTGGCAGGGTAAAGGGGATGACTCCTCCCCCCAAGGCTCACATGTGAGTTGGGGTTTTCAGGGCGGATGGGTTCATGATTTTTGCATGGAGAGAAGAAACAAGAGGCATCTCCGAGTGAGGAGGAAACGTGTGCAAAGGTTTGGGTGTGGGGGGTGTTACAGGAGCAGGTGACAATCTGGGGTCTGGTCACTTCTCACCACCTCCACGGCTACCACGTTGGTCCAAGCCACTGTCATGTGTCACCCGGATTGCTGCACGCGGACCTTACACTAGGACTTCATGGAATTCCCACAACACCCCAGAGCAGAACTGCTTTCATTAGCCCCATTTTACAGAGTTGGAAACTGAGGCATAGAGAGCGGGGCTGGAGCTGTTGGAAAGGCAAGAGAAGAAGGCCCTGAGGACGGGAGACTAGAGGGAGAAGAGGTAGGAAAAGGGGGTGTTGACGATCCGAAGAGGTGAAGCATCTGAGCAGGGATCCAGGAGACAGAGGCTGAAGACAGAATAGAATCTGTGTAGACAGCACCTCTGGTCTCTGGTTCTCCCAGGACCTCACTTCCTCCTGCCCCAGCCTGCCTGTCTGATAAATGTCACCTGTCGCTTCAGGTGATTACACTCGCATCCCCTGGGTTGCCGTGTTCTGATTCTAGAGCTTAGTTTCTTGCTGAGCCTCCTCGTATGGGTGTGTGTGATGGGAAGCAGGAGAAGCAGATGGGCTAAATAGAGGCAGAAGAGCAGGATCACGTTTGCATCTTGGGACTGTCCCTCTGACAGAGAGTGGTTCAGGGCCAGTCCCATCTGCTTTGTGTGGTTTGGGGCACCCCTGCCAGGCCTGCGGAAAGCCCCGAAAGTGGACTGAGAGTGCGCGGGATGGAGAGGGTGTGGGCAGGGCGGGGACAAGGAAGGATCCAGGCTTTGGGCTTGGGACCTCGGTAGAAGGCAAGGGGCTCCGGGAGAGTAGGGGATGAAAAAGCAGGACAGGGGAATGCGTGGCTCATTTGGAACCACGTGGAGTTTGAGGGGCCTAGGGACCCCTCCCGGGAGATACAATTGGATTTATGAGGCTGGGGCTCAAGACACATTCACCAGCCTCTGATTTACCCTCTGGCCGTGGAATGAGCTGACGGGGGGGGGGGGGGGGGGGGGGGAGCAAGGGGAGGACACACCGGACCCGAAGGGATGGAGAAGGCACAGTGTAGCCAAGGGCTCCAAGGAGAAGAAGGGCTGGCGGGACTCCAGTGAGGAGGCCTTGGCCAGAAGAGGCTCAGGGAGGGGCGGTCATGGTGGGGGCCCGGGTGAAGGCCAACTCTGGAGGCTAAAGGGAGGATGGGAGGTGACAGCAGAGATGGCGCATTGAGAGCTTCTTCACTTGGGGCCCTTGCACCCTGGAATCATCAAGGAGCTTTAAAAAACCCTGCCTGGGCCACCCCCAGCATGCGTGGGCATCTTGCATGCAGGGGTTTTTTTTTTAAAAGCTCTACGGATGATTCCTCTGGTGCCAAGTTGGAGAAACACCAGTTCAAAAGCTTCAGAGACAAGAAGGACCGAGGGAGGGAGAGGTGGACTGGTGGTCGGCCCAGCTTCCTTCCTGGGACCACCCCGGGGCCAGAACATTGCCACTCTCCCACCGCACCTGCTCCAACTCAGCTTCGGCTGCTCGTTCAGCCACTTCCGGGGGGCGGGGGGGGGCGGTGTCATCCTCTGGGCCTGGGCCGTGAAGGAAGAAACAAAAGAGAGGAAAAGGCGGCAAAGCAGCCGCCGCAGTGAGCCGGCACTGCCACAAGGGGGCAGCTGTGTGCAGGGCGCCGCAATGGGTTGACGGCGCACGGCCGTTCCCCGCCCGGGAGACTGAGCAAGCCTGTTTCCTCACCAACAAGGACAACAAGATACGGTCACCTCACAGGCGATTTGAGACGCAACGTGAGCTCGCGTCCTCACAGAAATGAGAACTCCCTTCCGTTTGTCTGGGCTACGTGAACAGCAGCTACCATTTACTGTGCCTCTGCTCTGTTAGGCGTCGCCTCTGTGCGCTGCCTGCACGAACTCTTCACGATCCTGTAACTCGCAATGATCCTATGAAACGGGCGCTACTATTACCCCCACTTTACAAATGAGGGAACGGAGGCACAAGGAAGCTGACTAGACTGGCAAGCCCCACAACTTGTAAGATGGAATCAGGACGCAAAAGCCCGGCTCCGAGGCTGGCATCCTTCCCAACCTGCCATCCCGCCCTGCGCTGCCCTCCCGGTGATAAATCTTTGGCCTAGGTGGGTTCAAGGTGTTTCTATCATTTGCAAGCTCATCTAATTCCGCCCCCTCCCCCCAAGTCCGTGGATTTTTCGAAGCCCCCTCCAGGTCTCCCTCCCGCGGAGAAGAGGACAAAGCAGGACTGGCTCAGAGCTGGAGAAGGAGAGGGTGGGGAAGGCAGGGGCTGGAAGGGGAGGGAGGAGGCGCAAGTGTCGTTTCTGCGTGGTTTTCCAGAAACGGCAGCCACGTGCCCCTTGTGCAACCTTGGCCGAGGGGTGTGACCACCGGCCCCGCAAGTCACCCGGTCCGTGAGCCCCGCGTCAAGCCCTCGGCGGTCGGCAGGCCCCTCTCTGCTGCTCAAAGTGGTGAGGCCCAGCAGCCCCTTTGTGCAACCAGACCCCATGCCAGGCGGCAGCTGATTGGTCCAGAAGAGGGCACTGGCAGAGCGCAGCCAATCGGCCCTTTCCTGGAGACGAGACACACCCCTGTCTGCTCCCAGGGCTGGACGCCGCCGCCGAGTAGACTCGGAGCCCCCGGAATGGAGAGGGAGGTCCGGGGGAGCCGAGAGGAGGGATGGAGAGATGCCTGCCCTGCGTTTCGTCCGTACTTCTGGCCCCTCCTTCCAAGCTTAGCTGCCTTTGGGCCCCATGGGGCCCCTCGATATCAGGATAAATTCTCTTCCTAGCTTGACGCGCAACAGAGCCCTCACCCACACCCGAGGCTCAAAGGCGGTTTGTGGTGGGCGCCTGGGTGGCTCAGTTGGTTAAGCGACTGCCTTCCGCTCAGGTCATGATCCCGGGGTCCTGGGATCGAGTCCCGCATCGGGCTCCCGGCTCAGCGGGGAGCCTGCTTCTCCCTCTGACCTTCTCCCCTCTCATGCTGTTTCTCTCTCGCTCGCTAATAAATAAATAAAATCTTTAAAAAAATAAAAAATAAATAAAAGATTAAAAAAAAAAAAGGCAGTTTGTGGAATCAATTCTGCCGCTCTTCCTGCCACCCATGGAAAAGGAAGAAGGAAGGAGAGGGGTACCATGCAAGCCTGGGGTGGTTGGGCATCGCAGGGTGGAGCGAGGGGCCCGCAGCACTGCCCCCCCCCGCCCCCCGCCTCTGCCCAGGGCCCTGGAGAGGACCCTGAGGGACTCTCACTGACTTGTCAGGAAAGATGCTCGAGGCAGACCGCAGTCCCACAAGCACCCGGACCCTGCTCCCCTCTCATCTGTCAGATGGTGACTCCCACCTGCCATCTTGGCTTCCCCGGGCCCCTCTGTGCGCTTCCCCCAGACCCCAAACAAGCACAGCCCGCCACTACTGGGAACCCAAAGGCTTCCGTCACTCATTCATAAATTCATTCATCAGATATTGACTGTCCTTCCTCCTACAAGCTGGATGCTCCTCCAGATACGGGGAGACTTGCTGGGCTTTGCCTTTACTCCCTACCCTGAGTCCATTCTCTGCTCTTCTCGGTGCCTGGAAGGCTGAACTCTATAGACAGCATCGCCAGCCCTCCTGCCCCGGCTTCCAGTTGGGTTCAGCTAATGAGAGTGATGGGAGTGAGATCAGAGGGCAGGAGGAAAGATCCTTCCCATTCTCACCCTGCCGGCTTTAGCATGTGGTGTGGCAGCCAGCCTCCAAGACGGCCCCCATGGATCCTGGCCTCCTGTCATTGCTCCCTCCCGTAGTCTCCTGCACTGCATCAGGGTTGATCTGGGTGATGCATAGAATGTGGCGAGGTCATAAAAGATACTGTGGTGTCTGCCTTGCTCTTTTCTTGGATCACCTGCTCTGGGATAAGCCAGCTACCCATCGTGAGAAAAGCTCAAGCGGTCCTATGGAGAGACCCACATGGCAAGAAACTGGGGCCTCCTGTCAGCAGCCAAGGAATGGGCCAGCCCGGAAGGGGGCCTGCCACCCTCTGCCAAGCCTGTAGATCCCTGTAGCCCTGCCACTGTCTTGAGGGACCCTAAGCTAGAACTACCTAGTCACGCTACAGAGACTGCACAGGGATAAATGTCGACTGTTTTAAGCCACCGAGTTCTGGGGTCATTTGCTACAGGCAATAGAAAATACAGCACGATTCTGGAAAAGGTGTTCTCGGCTCTGGTCACGGCTTGTACCCATGGCCTCTTTCTGATAACAGCTTCCTCCTGCTGCTAGTCTTTGGGTGTCTCAATATCCCCCGTTGGTTTCCTTCCTCCTGCCCACAACCCTGGAAATAGCCCCGTTATTAAACTCTCAAAAATTCACAATGGAATGTGCTGGCCCGCTTCCCGCCAGGGCCCTGCCTGATGGAAGATGTAACTGCGAACAAGACAGATGTCATCTCCTGTCCCTTTGGCAATCCTGCTGTTCGCGTGGGGGAAGGCAGACAATATGTCAGCTGACAAATAAATAAGCCAGATGACTTGGGAGACCAGGGCATGGGCTGATGTGGGGGAGCTGTGTCAATGGGGCTGGTCACAGAAGGTTCTGGAGAGGCAACCGTGAGGCTGAGCCTGAATGGAGGAGCCGGGGAGCCCAGGCAGAGGTGGCAGCAAGGTCCCTGGAGGTAGGAGAGGATCTGGATTCTCCGGGAACCGAGAGGAGGCCCACGTGGCCGGAGCCGAGTGAGCAGAGTAGAGAGGGTGAGACAGGAGATTCAGGCGGGGCCGTGAACGGGGTTTGGGTTTTAGTGAAAGTACGACACCACCCCACGTGGAAGGCTTCTCAGCGAGGTACTTAGGTGATCCAATTTCCCTTGCAGATTGCTTCCTGGCTGCTCCCGGAGCACAGAGGGCCGGGAGGCATGGCGGGATGTGCGGGGTTGGCGCTGGGGCCCAGGAAAGGAAGGGGTCTCTGAACTTTCCCACTACATGATCTGTGCTGATGGTGGGATGAGTTTTGGGTGGGGGAGGGGTGGCGAGTCAGGGACACCCAGGCAGAGATGTCCAAGAGGTGGGTGAATTTTGAGCTGGAAGCTGGGCTGTGGATGGATCACACACAGTCATGGGAGGAATGGGGTTTTGCCTGTCCCCTCCTTCTCGGGGCACGCACAGACCCACCCCCTTCTAGGCCTTAGGCCCATGTCCAGCTGGGACTCAGGAGGGGACTTTGGGTAGGCTGGGACTCATTTGAAGGGGTCATCTTGCTGGTGGGGTTATTGGTCTGGTGGATGCTTCACTGAGATTGGACGAGGAAGGCTATTTCCTTTGTCCCATGTCTCCACTGAGGGAGACGGCCCCTCATGGCTGATGGTCCTGACATCTCTGATCTGAAGTTCTCAGATGAATGAGCTAAGAACAGGAAGTCCTGGCCAGCCCCGAGCCAGCTCACGTTTTGGGGACAGTGCAATCAGGCGCTGTCCTTATCCCCAGCTTCGGGGCCCCAGAACCAGGACCTCCCATCCTGGCCTCAACCACAACCAGGACAGTCCTTCCAAAGGGCCCCCCCTGCCTCATGGCCTTGGGTATGGCTAAGGGGAACCAGCCAGGCCCCCTGGGGCCTCCGACAGGGCTGACACCCCTGGCCGTTTCTGGAAATCGGGAAATCAGAGGCCGGCCCCTTGTTCTCCAAGACTCTGAGCCCACTCCCTGCCTCAGTGTCCCACCACGGACCTGCTGGGTCTGAGCACCCTGCTTGGCCCACGGTGGGTGCTCAGTGACTAGGTACAGCTTAGATTCTGGGCATAGGGTGCTCAGCTGTGCCAGGCACATTCTCCTGAGTCAGTTCACTGAACTCTCCAAAGGGCTCTCCAGGGGAGGGTATTGTTATTCGCCTTTGGAGTTGAGGAAAACACAGTTCAGCTAATGAAGCAGCCTGAGAAAGCTACACCCAGGCGAGGGACCCAATGTTTGAGTCCCCCACCCCCCAACTCATAGGTTGAACCCCATCTCAGGGTGATGGTGTCTGGAGGTGGGGCCTTTAGGGGGGAAAGTAGGATTAGATGAGGTCATGAGGGTTATAAGAAGAAGCCAGAGAGCTAGCTGGCTTGCTTTCTACCATTGGGAGGCCACAACGAGAAGGGAGCCATCTGCAAACTGGGAAGAGGGCTCTCGTCAGAACCGGACCTTACTGGCAACCTGATCTTGGACTTCTGGGTTCCAGAACTGTGAGCAACACAATTCTGTTGCTTCTAAGCCACCCAGTCAGGGGTAACGTGTGGTAGCAGCCTGAGCTCAGACCCCCCAGGTAGGGCCCCTGTAGTCTCCACCCAGACGGGAGGGGATGGACCTCAGCCCAGAACCCCCTGGGCCACCTCTCCTTCCCGTGTCCTGTGGTTTGGCATGGGCAGTTACCCACTTGCAGGCCCTTCCTATGTGGAGGGAAGCGGGCCCTCCTCCTCCAGCCCAGATGCAGCCCCACAAGCACCCCCCACCCCAAGAGCACTGGGAGCACAGGGGTCTGGCGCCTGAGCACCAGCCTGCACTCCGCCCAGAACTGGGCCCCAAATCACACCTGCGGTGTACCCGTTAGCAGATTGCTTCATTCCCTGACTTTGGTCTTCCTCAACTCTAAAATGGGCATAAAAATCACATCTCTCCTACTGAGCTGCTTCGAGTGCCCTGTGATCTGTCACCCCGTCACCCGTGGGCATGTGAATTCATGTTCCAGAAAAGGCAGAGAGGTCTGGCACCTGCTAGGCCTCGGACAGACCCTGCTCGCAGCTGCCCCAGGCTGAGCCAGGTAGAATCGGAATGAGAAGTGAAGGTGATTCCAGGCCCAGCTGGCTTCCCGGCGGCTCCTGGCACCGGCCCCTCTTCCCCAGGCCCTGAGGCTCTCAGTCTGCCAACCCTCATTACCCGCTTTTCCCCATATTTGAGCCCCGCAACCCTGCCTTCTGCTGCATCCCACCACCAGCTCTAACCCACCCCCACACCTGCCCCGGACTGGCTCCCAGCCCTTCAGGGCTCGCTTCTCACCTCAGAGTCTTGGCCCCAGACAGCCCCAGGAGCCAGACAGAAGGCCCTAGACAAAGGCCCGGATGGAAGCTCAGCTCCAGAGCAATGTTGCAGCGTCTGGCCAAGGGAAGGGTGGGTTTGACCACCACCTCCTCCCTCTTACCCTCAATCCTACTCTGGAAGCAGAAGCTTCCCTCAGGCACTCCTGGGTCCTGCTCTGGCTTCCTGGAAGCCCTTCTTTTGGAAGCTGCTGGAAATTGAGGATGGGAGAGAAACATTCCAAGCCTGCAGAGCTTTTCCTTCTCAGCTCTGGAAGCCAGGCAGATGTGGGCATGAGCAAAGTGGGTGGGTGTAAAATGACATTCAGCCTCAGAGAGGAAGGCCACTGGGAGTGCTGGGGACTGAGGCATCCTGGAGAGCACCAAGCGAGGTCACTGCTGGATTTACATGGCACCTTTGTGCAAATAAGTAAAAGTCCGCCTTTGGATGGACACAGCCTTGCGCCAGTGCCTGTAACTTGGTGGCAGAGAGGGGGCTGGATCTGACCTGTCTCCTGCCACCTCGGCGTCTGCCTGTCTTTGTGCAGGGTGCGACACACACAACTGTACATCGCGGTCCTGGCCCCACATCACAGGGGTGGTTACTCAGCTCCAGTGCTACAGAAATGGGAATCCATGCGCTGGAGCGTCCCATTGTTCGAGGGCGGCTGAATATGGAGAAATGTGTGAAATAGTCTGAGTTTTAAATGTTGGCAACAAGTCCAGATTTAATACCCCCGGGGGCCAAACACAACCTGGGCTGATAGTGGCATGCGCAGCCCCCACCAATGGATGCTGGGCCTTACTTAGGACAGGGCGGGCACCTCAGGCCCTGCTGGCCTGTCTTCCTTGGGCCCTGGGCAGTGCCCTCCCTGGACACTGAGCTGCTCTGACCAGAAAGGCGCCCACCTCACACCCCCAGAGGTGGCTGGCTCAGACCCAGCTGCCCTACCGGCTTGGGGCAGTGGATGTAGCGGGCCAGGCTGATGATGAGGTCGTGTGTGATGGGGTCCACCAGGTTCCTGAAGCTGGCATAGCGGTACAGAACGTCGTCCAGAGAGGTCGACTCCATGCCCAGGTCCTGCAAGAGTGAAGGACGCCCAGAGGTCAGGGGTGGCCCGGCCCTACCCTTGAGTCCCACCCAACATGCCCAGAACAGCCCCCTGGAGGTGAGGTTAGGGCCCCCCCCGAACACCCTGGCCAGGGAGGAGACCCCCCCTTCAAGAAGTTTTCCCAGCTGCAAGGAGGCATCTCAGCACCTTCTCCAGAGGGCCAGGAAAACTCCTGTAGAGATGGCCTTCCCAGGGCATGCATGTCTCCGAAGCCCTCCAACCTCTGGATGAACACCGCCCCCCACCAACCCAGGACGAAGCCAAAGGTGGGCTGGTCATGGTACTAGAGGCTGCTTTCCCACATAGAGCAAACGTTGGGAACGGCATGCCTCGTAAACCCCCCTGCTCTGTGATAGGGTCCTATGTACTGATATTTGTTTTTTTCATGCTTCTGAGGTCATTTTTACTGCTTCTTATGTAGATGACCCAATCTCAGTGTTCCTTTGCCTTGGAGGGGGTGGGGGTTCTGGATTGTGGGACTGAAAGGAAAAGTAGCCAGGCACCCGGAAGAAAACCCCAGGGCTCCTTTAGAAAGGCTATCAAGTAGGAGGGAGGAGAGGGAGCCTGGGAGAAAGGGGCCCTGAGCGGGGTGGAGGCAGAGGCTCCCCAAGCCTGAGGAGGGACAAGGGTTTGGGTGGCACCACACACCAAGAGCCCCCACTGGGAGCCTCTGCAGACACCCCTGCCCACCAGCAAGGGACCCCACAGACTTGGCCAAGAATAGTCACCAGTGTGGATTGGGACTCACCAGTGTGGATTAGGGGCCCTGCTCCAAATGTTCTGGACTCTGTATAAGACCCCCAGGATTCTTGCACAACCCCAGGGAAAGAGCAGGCTCCCCAAACATGACTAAAGCTTGAATTCCCCACCAGTCAGGTTGAAACAGCATTAATTGCTTTAGAGAAGCAAAGAAACATGGTTTTCTACCCTAGAGGGTTAGAATAAACTTTATGCCCTCTAGATGTGAAAGAGCATGGGTAAACACCGTGACTTTTCTCAGACACCTCTCCCCAGTTCCTGTTGTCCTTGGTGCCTTGTCCAGACCAGGCCGTGATAGGAATGATGACATTCCTGCCCCCAGCCCACCCTGAGGACCAAGGGGGCCACTGAGGGTGGACAGGGAAAGCAAGGAGACCCACTTTTGCTGCCCTCACCCTCTGGGCCCCTAGGCCCCCAAGCCGCACGCGGAGCTACCCCAGAGGAGGGAGGCTCCCAGGCTGGGTGGCCAGAGTCCAGCTCCCTGGGGACACGAAATATGTGGCTGATGGGTGAGTCCCAGCAGGGGTTCCCTCCCTGTCATGTCGGTGGGGGATCCTGAACTTTTCCAAACACCTTCCCTGGGTGATCCTTAGAAATCCCTGTAAGGCAAGTAGGCTGGGCATCATGATTCCCAATTTACAGATGGAGAAACTAAGGCCCAGGATTTCAGGAATGCAATGTACAACATGATGACCATAGTTAACACTGCGGTGTAGGAGATTCGAAAGATGCTAAGAGAGTACACAGCCTAAAAGTTCTCATGGCAAAGAGAAGAACATGTTTTTTTTTCCTCCCCCTGACTACTCAAGGTGAAGATGTTAACTTACTGTGGTCATAATTTCATAGCTTATGTAATTTAATCATGATGCTCTGCTCCTTAAACTTATACAATGCTCTAACTCAGTTATATCCCAATAACATGAAAGAGAAAAAAATCACATATAATACAGATGTTTTTTATTTTTATTTTTTTTTAAAGATTTTATTTATTTATTTGACAGAGAGATATAGAGAGAGCACAAGTAGGCAGAGAGGCAGGCAGAGGGAGAGGAAGAAGCAGGCTCCCCGCTGAGCAGGGAGCCCGACAAGGGGCTCCATCCCAGGACTCTGGGATCATGACCTGAGCTGAAGGCAGATGCTTCACCAACTGGGCCACCCAGGTGCCCCAATAAAGATGTTTTAAACAAGAATTTCAGGAAGGTTGGGGGGTGGGCCTATGCCTCAGCTGGGGCCCATTTTGGGATTGCTCTGCCTTATTTACCATTGGAGTGAGTTGGGCAGGAGGTGGGCTGGACAGTAGAGATGCTGCCCTGAGGTTTGGTGGCTGACATTTCTAAGGGCAAAGAAAGAAAGGGTCTTTGCTGGGGTGATCTGGAGGGGACTGGGCCTCAGACTTGCTGAACCTGCCCTCCGGCCGGGTCCTACTCACCACGGTACAGACATGTTGCTCCCTCCTCCTTGTTAGAAAGGAATGGACACCAGTCTTGGGGGTCTTGTTTTCCATTCACCAGGAAGGACCCTCAGAGGCAAGAAGCCCTGCGTCGGGTTCTTTGGCTGCTGAAATAATTTCTTGGGGACCTAGACACAGGGGCTCAAGGTCTGGTGTGGATGCTGCCAAAGGGAGGCTTTGCCCAGTTCCAGAGCTGAGGGCCTTTGTGGAACCAAATACAGCACCACCTTGGGCCTCTGTCCCTACCCTGGCTTGTTCCATCCCTCAGCCACGGCTGTGTCCTGGGCAAGCTACCTCATGTCACTGAGTCTCAGTTTCCTCATCTGTAAAATGAAGCCAGCGACCCACCATCACAGGCAGGTGAGAGAAATAAAACCAAGTAACACGTAAAGCCTCCGACAGACTATCACCAGACAGAAGAATCACCAGCCAGAAGAATATCATTGACACAGCTCTCCCTACCCCACAATCCTTCCCTCCACCCCTCCCCTCTGCAAGACCCCTCCTCTCCTCATGCTGTGGCTCGTGGCCTCTTTTTAGACCACGGATCCATTTGAGAATGTGACAAAAGCCATGCCCTCCCTCTCTGGAAAGCCTCCCTCTGGTCCAGCAGGGCCTGGACCCGTGGGATCTCAGAGCACAAACTGTTTCTCAGGAATGTGCAGAAGCGCAGCCCACCCTCCCTGTGGCAGGAGGAGGCTGGGAATGTAGGAAGGGGGGGTGTCAATGGGCCTCTGTTCTAGGGTCTTGGAAGCCCCATGTGTCTAGGGCCGAGGCTCCCCTTTCCCAGGGTGAGGAGGCGAGGGAAGGGCAGGGTCCCATGGGTGGAAATGGAGGGGTGGTGACTGCCACGGTCAGAGGCTGGATTTGTGGCCCTGGGAGAAGGACCGGAGATAGGTATATCTTTCCTTTCCTGTCTGTCCTGCAGGCTGGGCTGCCCCTCTGTGACTTGCTGCCTGAACATCAGCCTCTGCCTCCCTCTCCTTGCCCCCATGTACCCCTCTGCTCAGCGTGCACCCCGTCCCATGCTGGTCTCCTGTTACAGTTGTCGCTGCTCCCTGTCCCCTGAGGGCCCCTGCAGAAAGCACCACACTCCAGTTCTACCCAGTCCCCGACACACAGTCAGTGGGCAAGAGACTCCTTCCCTCCTGGGCTCTGTTGCCCCATCTGTGAAATGGGCCAATGAGCCACACTCGTAGTTACCAAACCGTGTTTTCAAGTTCTGGGGGCTGATGGCAAACACGAGAGAGGCCAGAAGAGTCCGCGAGGCTTGGGGCCCAGCTCTCGACAGAGCAGCTCTGCTGGCCACCATTTGGTTAAGAAAAAAACAAAAACAAAAACAAAAAAAACCCCCAACAAAACAAAAGCAACCCCCAGAAGTAGTTCTGTGACCAAAGCAAAGTTTTGAAAACCCTGGCCTGGCCGGCTGCTTGGGCTGTTGTCCTCCTACCAGCCCGGCCCGTAGAGGCCCGTCCATCTGGGGAAGACCAAGAAAAGCCTTGTTGTGAAGCCCGGAGGCTGGGGCAGGTCTGGGAATACGCAGAATGTTCTTCCCAGAGGCCCCCGCCACCCCGCCCCGTTCCATGTCCTCCTGCCCTCATGGTCATTCTGGGTGCCAGGTCTGCTGTTGTCTGGGGTCACTCGGCTGTTGCTTGGGGGGTGGGGGCAGGCAGGGAGCAGGCAGGAGGGGGGTGGGGAGGAGGGTCCCCCCAGGAAGGCAGACGTGGCCGGGCTCACTGTGCTTTGGGTCACGGTGAGTCATGCCACCGCCCTCCCTGTGAATTCCAGCTGGGGTGGGGCTCCTGAAAGGCCAGGGCTGGAAGTTGCGAGAAGCAGTAACAGGGAAAACCGGCTGGCCGAATGCTGCTGCATGTTTTATTGCTGTATTTCTTTGTTTTGACCCCACCTCGGCCCACGAACGAACGCTTGTGCTGCTTGAGGATACTTCACCCGTCCCAAGGACCTCGGGGCACTTCTGGCCTCCCGGGTGTCCTCCCCACCCCTCTCCCCAAGGCGAATTTACTGGGGACGCCTGCATCACAACTTTGCCCCCACTTGAAGCTGTCCAACAGGGGCCTCCCACGCTAGGCTCTGCCCCGGCTCTCAGGAAGGGACAAAGAGGGGGACAGGTGAGCAGCACCCGCGGCCTGCACATGGAGCTCCTTCAGGCCACCCTGGGCACGGCTTTGGCCTTGGAGGGGCTGGTCCGCCTTGCAAAGTACAAGGCAGTAAGGAACAGCGCTTCCTCATGATGGTCTAAACAGCACCATCGCTAGGAACTGTGCGCGTAGGGCTCCCCATCAGAAAACCTGGGAACAGCAGACCCAGTGCCTGGGTCTCTGCCGGAGGCAACTTTGCTTGGAGAGTGTCACCCGCAGGGGACTGAGGGGGCCAATGGCCAGCCCACTCCACCTCACCTAAGTGGGGTCCCCAATGTTACTTGAGTGAGAAGAACCAGGTTTAAGGACTCGTTCCCACGGGAAGAGAGATGATGGGCTTGAGGTTAGGGGTGTATGGCTTTCCAAAAAGTGAGCTGAGACCCACATAGATCAGCATTAGATCAGCATTTCTCCAAGTGTGGTCTCCAGTTCCTTTCAGGGGCCCTGCAAGGTCCTCTTTTCCAATGACCTATCAGCACGACCTAGATTTTCTTTACAGACTTCAACCAAAACAACCCACGTCCAGAGACCCAGTGCAGAAGCGGCAGGTATGAGCATCCAGCTGTCTTCTCTTAAAGCCACACATTAAAGAGATTCACCA